AATCAATAACACCCTTAGCGTTATCTTCAATTCACGCGGTAGACTCTGAGCCTATTGAGCGCCGGACATCATTGGCCTTTTCGTCTATCCAAGGGGTTCACACTGAGCCTGTTGAACCGCAAACGCCTAAAGAGACTCGAGAAGCAGTTTTCGTCCCCGCCAAGTCGGAAGAACCAGAGACTCCCAAAGCTAGACTACTCAACTCCGTATCTGGCCGGAACAAAAATAAAATACAATCCACTCCTATTATTGCTGAAGATGAGACTCGTCAATCACCAAGCCAGTCACCAATGGTTGAGACCCCAGAGTCACAGCGCCCGTTCAGAGAACTATCTACCAACACGAATGAGCGCATCAATAGGATATCAAGGATTGAAGTTGCAGACGAAAGTTCTCAGACGGCACTTACCTCCGAGCAGATGGACGAGTTGCTTCGACCTAAGGCCAACCCACCTCCTGAGGAAAATGGAAACGCAATACTCTTACCTTTCCAGGCAGGCAATAGTCCGCCAAGCCTGAAGCTCAAGAGATCACAGGAGAGCGTGAACATTCACCGCGGAACCAGCGTACCAGACACGGATTTCTTCGACTCAACGCCGACCAAGAGGTCCACAAGTCCTGGCAGTTTACGGAGAGAATCGGCTTCAGGTGTTCATCCTCCTTTACCTACGGATCATAAGCAAGTTATTGCGGCTGCCGCTCAGCGTACTGGCTCTTCCCATGGACCAGGCTCCATGGCTCCTCCTCCGCTCCCAGTCTCTGCCTATAGAACTAATTCCAACACGATGTTCAGGCCTCGAACACCGAACACTCAAAGCTCTATAACTCCTGCTTCTCAGAAAGGCGTACTTGTTCAAAGAGGAATCCACTCTTCCGGCACAGGAGATGTTGCATCTCTTACTGGTACTGGCGCCCAGTCAGGGCGGTCGTCAGTCTCATCATTTGTATCTGAGCTTGATAATCGCTTTAATATGCGCTCCACCATCCCAACACCAAATGGTGTCGAGCCTGGTACGGATCCAAGGATGATCAATGCTATCACACAAACCATGATCGGGGAATATCTTTGGAAATACACCCGCAAGACTGGTCGTGGGGGTATTTCCGAAAACCGCCATCGCCGTTTCTTCTGGGTTCATCCATACACTCGCACGCTGTATTGGAGTGATAAAGATCCCTCATCTGCGGGAAAATCCGAAGTTAAAGCTAAGAGTGTTCAAATTGAGGCTGTCAGAGTCGTGACAGATGACAATCCTATGCCTCCAGGATTACACCGCAAGAGTATAGTGATTATGACCCCTGGCAGATCTGTTAAGTTCACAGCAGCAACTGGACAACGCCACGAAACTTGGTTTAATGCCCTGTCATACCTTCTCCTTCGATCTGAAGATGAAGCGAATGGCGGTGGCTCTGAGGCTGCTAGTGTCAATCAAGATGATGTTGCTGAGTTCAACCCATCGTACGGGAATGGAGTTAACCGTTCCAGCCGGCCATCCCTATCGTCATACAATAGCCGCAATACTCGCAACGGATCTCAAGAACGGGGGACTATTAGACAATCAGCGAGTGCTGCTCCAGTAGCTCATGGATCTGTATCCTCTCGTATGACTGCCGGCACCTTTTCTCGCCTCAGCAATTACTGGAAAGGCGGGAAAGAAGGACACACGGGCACTTTGTCTGGCAGAAGAAGTCGGAACAGCGTAAACGGTGCTGGTAGTGTCTATGAGAACGACAATGTGTATGACAGTGCTGAAGATTTAAGGGAGATGATTGAAAGGCAGGACCGAGAATCGGACAGACTCGAGAACGTCCGAGCTTGCTGCGATGGTAAGTGTGACTTCGTGATTGCAGTTTCAGTTGCATGCTAACTTCTCTCTAGGTAAACATGATGTAGGCCATCTGCACCACCATACCCATCATACAATCAGGAACCGGCACTCCCACAATTTCACAATCCGCTCAACGTCGTCCAGGACCACACAAGTAAGAAACTGAACCAAAAAAAAGTTATTTCCTAAGCGCGCGCATACAATATTTCCTTTGCATCAATGCCCAGCCAGGGCCAACCGGACTTTACTTCACGATCTTTACGTCTTTCCTTGCCTCGCTGTGCTGCCTAGATTTGCACACAGTTGTTGTTTTGTTACGGCAGCATCCTGTTTATTAATACGCATGATCGCTCTAGATCAAAAGTCCTCTTCGTGGTATTGTAATGAGTCAGCAAAGAGCTAGTCGCCTGTTTCATTTCCTTTTTGTACCTGTTTTGTTTTTTTTGGAGAAATACGCCTATCTGGAGGTATATTGATATTTGTATGATGCGAGTTTAGTGTAAGCTATGGAGTTCGATGGATTTCCAGTTTTGTTACAAGAACGGATACAGTAGCGACTCTAAAAACAAATAAAAAAAAAGGCATCTGCATTTACAGCTGCATCTTCCTCCATATTGGTACTGCGGTGATTATGTAGAGCGCGATGAGAGACATAAACACCCCACTCGTGCACAACTCGCACAGCAATTACGCCCGTCACCCTTGGATATTACGAGTCAGCACCCACTATACTATATTGGGTGGACTCGCTGTTGAAATAGGCTCATACGGGTACGATACTTTAGGTACGTATCCGTCTACAACGTGCTTCTCCAGATGACATTATTTGCAGGAGGACCAAGCGCCGGATCGATAACGGGAAGGTGCACCACCAGATAAGGTAGATCGGCGACGCGGCAAGCGCCAGGACCTCGCTGGGCTCGGATCTGTGCGTACGCGAACGCTGGGTGAGGAAGCCGTGGAGGGTCCCTTGAGCCAAGATCGAGGACACGGACGACCATACGATCCAGCGTCCAACAGTCCCCGACTGACTGACGGGACCTTCAACTGTTTCCACATACCGCGACCTCAAGAACTATCACAATACAAGGCATCAGACATGCCGCCGGCGCTTGGTTCTCGAAGGGTCAATTCGATGACCCAGAATTCCCGCTCGTCAGCACCAATTCTCCCGCCTTCCGTATCGACGCGACAGCAGCATAGTCAACACCAACACGATCTCAGCAGCACCTCTGCTCCAGTTCTGCCTCCACCATCTCAATCAATGCCCCCACCTTCAAGCTTAGCTTCAGCGCTCATAACGCCGCAGCACGATATGCGTGAGACTTCTGTCAATCTCACAGGCTCTCTGCGTAAGCCGCGACAGAACCTCGACGAGCGCGACCATCTCCTCATGCTGAAGACTTGCTACGACCTGCGGCACACGTTTAAAGATGGCACGAAATCGCAATTCTGGTCTGGCGTGAGCGCGGCCTTTCATCGCGACTCGGGGAAGGTGCTGGCCCAGATGAGTGCGACCGTCGGACGGCTGGTGGAGACGCGACGACGACAGCTTACTGATTGGGAGAATGGAATCCTCAGAGAGAAGCCGGGTGGTGAATTGAATGAGGCAATTGATCGCTGGATGGACTTTTTGAAGGTTGAGGATGCCGAGGCAGAAGCGGAGAGAATGAGGCAGGTCGAAGCACGCAGAAGGGTCGAGGAAGCTAGGAAGGAGGCCAGGAGACAGAGTCACATGGCTGCTGAACATGTGCATCAAAGGGCCCATATGGAGAACCAAGCTGCCCAGGCACAGGTGCAGCTGCAGCTACAAACACAGCAAGCTCAAGTTCAGGCTCCAGCACAGCATCAAGTGCAAGTACATACCCAACCTCAGCCTCAACCTCAGCTGCAAACTATGGCTCCTGCTCGACATTCACCGCCGCCGCCGCCACTGGCGATTGCGGATTTGACTGATGACAGAGAAGTCTCTTTGGTGAATGGCCAGGTAGATGCGGATATGAACGGATACCCACCTAGAAAACGGATGCGCGGGGACCGTGAAGTTAGCCGTCAACTGCAAGATCAATTACAACAGGATGCATACAGCTATCATGAGCCTGGCCCACCTTCGCCCCCGAGGAGAGTGGTCGTGGAAGGCGCATTGACGAAGGAAGACTGGAGAGATATTATGGGCAATGATGCGCGATTAAGAGCGCTGGAGACCAAAGTTGAAAGGATTGAGTTGATTGTCACTCAGAACAACAAGCTTTTGCTGCAATTACTGCAGAACCAGAACAAGACATCTCGGGATGAAGAGCAGGAGCAAAGGGTTCCAGTTCACCTAGATGCTGAATTCGAGAGGGATTACCTATAAACAGACAACCAGGAAGAATCTAGAACCATATCCATACGGTATAACCCATGTACCAGTCCTAATTGATGGACAGCGACCGCTGGTTAGTGGTATCGCATGTTTCTAACACATGGCACTATCTACTCGAAGCCCTTCTAATACAGGATTCAATCGGGCAATGGCTAGCTATTTATTGCTTCATCGGAGGAATTGCGATGTGAGTCTCTCTACGTTTATGGTATGTTTAGTGTACTAATTCCCAAGCAGTCCTTACAAAAATCACTGATAAACATATCGTGGAGCTGGGGCATCTAACCGTCTCATCTGAAACTTTTGCATACCTCAATCTTACAAACGCTATATCTACATGATTCCAACTTCACTAGCGATTCTCCTTATAGATACCCAATATCGCTTTATTTTGCGCTGGAGTTCTCATTTTAGCCTTTCCATTTTTGATTATCATGCTGCTTTCTGGATGTCTACCTCTCTTTGCCTGGGGTTGTGCATACGAATGAGGAAAAGGAGTTACAGGGTATTTACATATATGATCAATGATTTCAAAAATTATCTCATCGGAGGAGGATAAAGCCAGGGTCCATGAATATTATCTATCTATTGCTTTGCATGATAACGAGAGTCCTAAATATATTCTGCCATGGTCATAATGAGCCTGTGAGATGTCGCTTATAACCAGTCATTTTTCTCGTCTATAAGGATTTTCTCCACTTACTGAAGAGAGCCATATACACGAAAAGGAAAAGAATTGAACAATTTATCTCCCTCTCCTTTAAAAAAAAACATCTGATAAAGATACAATAAGAAAAAGCAAAAAATGGACGAGCGGGGAATTGAACCCCGGACCTCTCCCAAGTTGTTGGGTTTTCTTGTGAAACCCGCTTGCTAAGGGAAAATCATACCACTAGACCACTCGCCCTGTTTCCATATGATGTGGATTTTGATTGGTTGGGGTGTACTTATTTCATATTATATCGCGCCGAACCTATGGGTTGATTGCCTACTTTTAACTTTCTTCTTTTGGCTCTTTGGATTTGACTTGCATTGTTTTGATTGATTGATTACGCGCAGTTGATTCTCGCACAATACTTTTTTACGTGCTGCTGATACTGGATTGGTGGAACTTTTGGAATTTTTTCTAGAACTTCGGAGTAAGCAGCGTAAGCAGCGTGAGCAGGTTGTCAGCAGTGGTACGGAGTAAGCGGAGGGCTTTTCTGAGCATCTATGGGCGGGATTACAAGGGTTGGATCGGAGATTTGATGTTTTACTTTTTGTTTTGCTTCTGGTTGATTCCCTTTCCGGGTAGTTGACGTTTATTCTTGTGGATGATGCTAATTATAGCAGTTTGGACTTCTCTAAGGATTTACGTAGTCTCTTTGTACTGGTAGCAAAGAAGTTGATGATTCTTAATCAATAAGTCCTCGAGAAAGACGTCATATCATGCACCTTGACTCATTGGATTTGTGCATAAAATATGAAATTGGTTCTTCGTGGAGATTAGTTGGGTATATGTTATGCTTTAGACAGGTTCTAGGGCGGAGAAAAAGAGGTGCTCTAGACTGAGAAAGGGGTGAAACCCCCAAGTAACATTCTATCCAAAGGTATAATCTAAGAGGTATCACTGCATCTCTTTCTCTTCTTTCTTCAATAAGGGTATCGCGAGACATCCCGAATCCAAGATCATTTGATCCCATTTGATCAATCCTGCCATCACCTACTCAAGCATCAATGCACATTCAAAAAGCGCATACAAAATAAACCCCTTTTGCTGTATAATCCTTTCTTTTATATATGCATACGCGCATGTAATGTGGTTTATGGTATGTAAAAGAACTATCATATAACCAGAGCAAGGAGAAAAAATGAAGCATTTAAATGTCCTCGCTTTCGGGATCAGGTATCTCTGCGCAAATTCGACCGACATACCAACTAACTATGGTACTAATGCAAATGCCAAACCCCAAAAACCTCCAGGTTCCGCCTCCCATGAATGATAACCCCACCGAAAGAGCGAATGAATATATGTGATCCATCCCAATATATAGCCAAAAAATTTCGCGCGTGAGCGCAGGTTGTACCTTAACAAAATGCCTTCACATGTCTCCTCCCATGTTCCCCTTACAATCCCCCTATTTTTTGAAAGTTTTGAAGATATAATTCCACAAAAAATAATTCCACAATGAACATATAAAAGAAAATGGATCTAATGAGTGTCTCGATTAAATGATCCGGTAGAGGGGCGAACAAAGATGGGGAATGGCCTCCGTCAGATGATAAAAGGGGTATAATGTGTGTGAAGCCAGAAAGGAAAAAAAGAAAAAGACATATAAACAGCCCAAAGTCTATAGTTTTCCAGAACCTCCCAAGCTATGCATTTGTGTTGCCCGCTAAAAAAGTTCCCATGATCCAAACCCGGATTTGTTGAATTCTCCAGGTGGATTTACTTTCACTAAGTTAAATGTTTTGTTGTCTTTTATGATGAGTCTCGAATCAGTCCAAAGGAAATGCGCAAAGTCAAATCACATGGCTGGAACAAATGACAATAAAAGCGAGTATATGAACGCTCAGGTTGAAAGAGAAGCCAGAGATAGTAAGAATCAGACCTCGCCCATCGGTCTGCCAAAATTGAAGCTCTGCTTCAGTTTTAGAATAGGCATGCCATCGTCATCCTCCTTCTCATCCTCTTCAGTAGAGGAGAGTGCACTCTCATCTGGAGATGTTCCTTCAGATTTACGAGCTTCCTCTGCTAGTTTCTTGACAAGCTGAGTAAGGAATACGTCGTCCGTCGCACCGTTATTTGTGAGACCTAGTTGGCCTTTGAGCGGCACATCTCCGTTATCTATCTCGTCCAACTGCTCGTGACCTGTTGCCACGGTTGCAACAGGCTCTATCAAACCTTGCTGTTCATGTTGCTGCTCAGCTTGCTTTTCCAGCTGCTCTTGATGTTGCTGGTCTATTTGCTTCTGGGTCGGAGTTGCATTCCCACTTTCGGATAGGAAGTCAAGCTTGGAGATGGAATGATTTGGCGTATGACCGGCATGCATCGTGAGCCTCCTATTCTCGGGCTGTTTAATGATTTCGAGAGCCGGAATCCTAGGCTGAGGAGCGGAGACACTCCTATCAAGGTGACCGCGGGGGTGGAGATTCGGTGACTTGATCGGAGAGAGGGCATTTTGGGGAGAAAGGACCTTTGCGACGAACTGTGGCGCTACCGCCGAGGTTCTGATGGGTACGCCTTCTAATTCCGGTTGGATGAGGGAGATGTCGATGCTCTCAGCCGGATTTTCGGGGACCGAGGGTGGTTCGTCGGGGGACTGGAGGCCAAAGTCGGAGGACGTCAACACCTTGGATGGTACTATGATTGCTCTATCATCCTTACCACTGATGTCGTCGATGCTGAGGTCTTGCTCTACAGATGGGGAGAAAGTTCTCGAGGGATTCTGCGGGGCAGGCGCATAGAATGGGTTTCCGTCCTCATCTCTGCCAGACTCCTGCGGGATGTTGAGGCTGGGACTTAAGACTCTTGAGGAGTGCGTTCCTGAAGGGCTGAGGATTCGAGATCTAGATGAGCCAGTGGATGCCGAAATGTAGTCATTGCCAGCTCTATTACTCCGCAACTGCGCCTCGAGTTCCGCAATTTGAGCCTTCAAAATATCACGTTCCTTGTCCCACAAGGTCCTCTCCTCCTCCATGACCTCTTGCATCCTTTTCCGGTCGGCGAGCATGTGCGCTCGCTCGCCCTCGTGCTGCGTTCTCAGCTTCTCGGTATACATTCTCCAGTCTTCAACGAGGCTGGCAGCATTGTCCTCCGCCGAAGCTGACCTCGTTCTCGGAGGCGAGATAGGATGGCCGTGACTGGAAAACTGCGACGGGGATTGGGACTGCACGTAGGCCTTGGGCGTATCTTGTTTGTTCGGCGACGGAGCGAAGTCAGGCATGGCTCGGGCATCGAGAGGCGCGGGTTGGGCTACTGTCATCGGAGGACCTCCAGGACGAGCGTTCTGGGGGGAGAGCACGGCTCCAGAGGGAAGGAAAGAGTCAGAGGGGAATTTGGGAGGAAGCATTTTGCAGATGGAGGTTGCAGGTGCGGTGGGATCGTGGCCATCAGTTTTGAATCGAAGGTGTTTTGTTGTTCGGGGCCCGCCCACACAATAACTGAATCCGCAATCTGCGCACACCGACCAGGCGTCTCCACGAGAGGGCCGGGCTATTCGGGAGGGTCCGCCTGGGAATGTCGCGTGTCCTACAGGCTGGGACAGCGAGGGCTAAAGTCGGTATTGGCGCAGGGTTCCACTACTAGGGCAACAGCGATTCGGCTGCCCTGCAGTAGCCTGACTGTTGTGAGCAGAAAGCGGGAAAGACAAAGGTGGCTAGGGCGCAGTTGGCGATGAGCAATGGATGTGTTGTCACGATGCGAAAGGAGGTGGTCGAGTGCGATGATGCGAAGTGGCAGTAGCGCCGCCGCTGCGTTGGGCATGATTGGCCCAAACTGCCTTTGTAAGGTGGTACGGCCCGCCGGAAAATCAACCCATCCGGCATGGATTTGGTTGGCTCGGTTGATCCAGACGGTCCTTTCAGCGTTCCATTATTTAAATGGTTTGATCTGGTGGCAGAAACGGCTTCTTCTGCTGTTCCATTACTCCAGATGGAAGATGGCGAAAAAAAAAGCAAATCCCATTGAGCCGGTCGATGGCTTTCCGTATTGGTCGCGGTACGGTGGAAAGTCTCCGCTGGTGGCTGGTCAGGCTGGTCCACTGCAAAATCTTCCTATCTCAGGGCTTATCCGGGCGCTTCAGGGCAGCGGGGAACCTGGGCCAGTCTCGCCAGTCAACCCAGCACGTCCCTGAACACGTCAGAACTCCCCTAAGACCGAGGCCTGTAGGGTATTCCGCATTACTGTGTACTCATCGTGCCCGCGTACTGTGCCATACTGCACTGCCTGCACTGCACGGTGCTCAACTACTGAACTGAACGGAACTCAGGTTTCAAGGCGGCAGTTGCCATACCAGCACCCTCCACAGCCCTTGTTTCTCCCTACGGCCAATCTGTCCTGTCCTGCTCGTACATTATTGCCCCTGATTTAGCTGCACAGTCCCTCGTGCCGTCTTCTAAGGGCGTAGGGCTGGGCCCGAAGTTGTCACAGGGATTGGTTGCCGGTCCTTATCAGTCGCTGGCCTAGCCTTGCTCCTTTCATGCATCAAACGAAAAACACTCATTATTCTGCCGTGCAAATAATAGTCCTGTTACACCCTCAACTCAAACATCTGGATCTTGTGGTAGCTGGATTCATACATAACTGACTCGTTAAAGACCCACGTATGGGTTTCAAGCCAGCTCGGTAGATGCCATAGCAAACCCTAAAGACCCATCAATTGCGTTCGAGTTTGCAAAACTTTTTTTACTCCAGAGAGAAGGAAAAAAGGTATCCACGCTTTACAATCATGGGGCACGGAAGGCTCTGAGGGATTTTTTTCTTTCTCATCACATGTGAAGACATACATGGCCAACCGGCCTGTAATGCGCCATATTTTCTACTTCAGCCCTCTATGCCAATGGCGACCACCTTACACGAGACAATCGAATCATAAGCATCATATTCTTTGCAACTGTTCTCCCATGATCCACTCTTACCAGTTCCCTTTAGTCCCCGCTAGAAATAATCATTATCCTACAATCTATACGACCTCTGTGATGGTGGTAACGGGCATATTATCTCTCCATCTTCGGGTGTTTTCGACATTCGTCGTACGAAGGCAGTCGTCTCTCGATCTCTTGCGGCTTAATCCTTCATCCGACTCCTCCCTTCCCCTCTTGTTTGCTTCTCCTGTATGTAAGATACATGAGCACAGTGGTGTCAGCTGTTGACTCTAGCCAATTCGGTTCTCGGTTATGCAGTATCGGAGTCACTGAGATTCTCTG